ANAANAAACTACATGTTCTTCTACATAATAATTTACTAAATTTAATATTTGAGACTTNTCATTTCTAAATATAAAATATATTCATGTTTTATTCATTGTATATACAATATATTGTATATATATATATCTAAAAAATAATTATCCGCCTAGGTTCCGCCTATACTCCCGCGTATACGGTTAGGCGTTAGGCCTCTTTTCGCCGCCTAGTAAGCGTCTAGCGCGTTTTAGAACACTGGGTAAAACAAATAGATCTTGAAGATAGGATGACAGTAAATTAAAGACTAAACTTAAATGCGTCGATAGAAGTTTCACATCAAAGCTAAAATGATGAACATTGGTCACTTTACTATATATATGTTAGTTTGATAGTTTTGAGAATAAACATTCAAAATCACTAGTTCAATTGAATGGTTTCTGTTTCAAACACGGTTTTATTAAGAGAAATGACACCAATAACAAACAAAACTTAAGTGATTAACCAATTTCTTAAAATTTTATGACTGTGAAAACTTCACATAATGCATTTTTTTGTTAGATTACTAATTAATAGTCTAAGCTTAATTATTCACCAAATTCACCATTTATTAATAATTTTTATTGATATATTTGTATAGCAAAGAAAATTAATAGTATGTATGTAGGCACGTTTTCTATGATGTTATTTGTTCATACGAAATTTAATACTCTTTCTGTAATATATATTTTTTTTTTTGATAAAGTTCAAGTTTGTTGATTAATCCAACATTTTAAAATGAATGGTATTTGTACACTTTAAGTTCTTTCGATTGTCAAAATAATCAAAAAGTTGAATGCGTTTGTAGATTAAGGTGTATTCCGGCGTATACTTTTCTCCTTATGCGTAGACGGTAGACTTTTGAGTTTTGTTGGAATAAATAATTAAAGTTTGAACAAGGTCGGCTTTACATTGGATGATTTATTGAACAAGCGACATAAGAAAATGATTTTCACGTTTGACTAAATTATTATATTACTGGTGAGGAATTATTATTCACTATTTCTGCAAACTTGATTTAAAATATATTATGTTACTCTGATGATTTCATGCTGTGACATTTGGACAAAATCTAAACTTTGAACAAAAAAGTATGGTTTAGAAGCTTTTCTTTGAGATATAATTGTTTTTTTTTAATATTGATCTTTCTAAGTATTTGTATTTGAAGGTTCAAAAAAAAGTATTTGTATTTGGCATTTACCATAACTCAGCTGTTTCATCAATTACTGATATAGTGATATTCGTTCGAATTTCTAGAAATGCTTATCGATACAATGATATTTTTGATATAAGACTTGATGATTCAGTCTCGAATGCAACAAATATGTAGATGAATATTTCTAGCCGTAATGAAATGAGGCAAATATATAGCGCAAAAAGAGAGTAATGCAGCCGAAGTTATTATTAGGCCCATAACGATAAACCCAAAACTAATACGGTTACTCCATGTCTTTTTAAATCTAGAGTTTGGGGGTTTAAAATATAGCTTTACTACATGTCTCTGATTCTTAGTGGCATTTATTGAAGTTAGTTCAGTTTGCAGTGGATTCTTGGTTAGTAACGAATGTTTAACACATTTGATCGAATTTTTACGCATAATCGTATGTGTAAGTAAAGGGAATGTAGAGACTCGTTGAGATATAATTTTAGGTCGAAAAGTGCAAGTTGATAATATATTAGAACGTAGAAGAACATAGAAGTGACGACGATACATCACTGATCATTAACGTAGTTACTAGCAAACCATTCCATGTCATAATTTTATTATTGGCTTCT